CTCGAGGTAGATGGTTACGTTAAGGAGTACTTTATACGGATAGGAGGAGAAAATAACGGTTAACTCTAGACTTGAACAGGTTAAGAGTGTAGTGATTGGGAGTCTGTTCCACAGAGCAGTGGTTCGCGGGAAGAAGCTGTTCGAGTGGAACTTACTTCTCACCAATGGAATACGGAGGGAATGAGAGTGGTTTGTTACAATGCCTGTGGCATGGCGGGTCCTAGACGTGAAGGTTAGGCCGGGAGGAATCAAGGAATGGCGTGCGTTCGAGCACTTTCCATGGGATTAGCGATAGAGCAATGAGAGGCTCGCCATATCCTGTCTGTAAGAGAGAGAGAGAGAGAGAGAGAGAGAGAGAGAGGATGGTGGAAAAAATTCGTTACCAAAAAGGATTCGGGGATGCTTTTGAACTCTATCATGACTGGAAAATGAGGACCGGGTAACTCCCGCCTAAATATGGCAACAGTACTCCATTTTCGGTCTGATATATTTAATCTATGTTTACTTAGGAGAAATATCCGTGTCTCGTCATACTGTAGTGATCCGTTCTTCTTTGTGCCGCGTTCCTTCAGGGCATGGTTGATCATGGCTCTCTACAACTTCCTATCCCTTGTGGCCCTTAACAGTTTTTTCTCCTTTTGCTAAGGCCCTTACTCCCCTGTTTCGTTATCCATTTACACAAGCTCGCTGCCTTTTCCTATCACTCTTGACCTCACTATGTCACGTGATGAGGACAAGATTATGACCTTTTGAGCCCCAAGACTAGTGAAATTATAAACCCTTTAACTCGCCCGCATCGCTCTTGTATATTTTTTACTCGTGATATATTTTCCGATATTTACATAGCTTGAAGTAAACTTATTGCAAATCCTTTAAATAAACTAGAATGGCTATCTTTTGTTTTTCAATAAAAAATATTCTTAAAGAAATACTACTGTTTTACTATATTTTGCAAACCAAATTAGCACAGATTTCAACACAAACGTAGTAAAAAACATTTTTATAGAAAAAAATAAAGCAATAAAAATAAATGACTATTTACATTATTCTAACTATTGTCCTCATCTTTGTTGCCATATTTATCACAACATTTCGGCCGTTGTACGCTCCGGCCTTCAGTTGGAATGTCGAAATATTGAGAGATACTGAAAATAATTGAGTTTTTCATATTGATATAATTTCAGTTTATGAAACTGTTTAGAAGTTATAACATCCAGAAAATTAAAATCACTGCTTTTTAAAAATTTCTAAGATTTAAAGTTCCTGAATAAAAATCAAATATGTTATCTACTTGAAACACAATTACACAAACTAAATCATTCTCTTCTTTGCTTTGCTTTCTGCAAAGTCAAATAAATATGAGTTTATCATATTGATACCACTTCAGTTTATGAAATTATTTAGAAGTTATAACAAGTAGAAAATTAAAATCATTGCTTTATAAAAGCTTGAGAGGTCCCTAGACTGCAGCCTATACTCGTTCTAAAGATAACAGAGCCTTGTATGCGTGGTTTAAGTTTTCCAAGCTTTCCTTCCTCATTATCCGTCCAAACAATTTCAGCTGCCTTTTCCTGATTCTGAGTAGAAATGGTCTTTCTGGTGCCATTTTCTTGAAGTCTTCCTTGTTGCTTACTCGCTCCATCAAACTAGGCTTTCCTCATTTCCTCATGGTAAGTTTTCAGTAAATTGGGGTTGTTGATCATAGTAGAGAGTTTGGTCCACACTGGGTGCCCCGTGTTTCCGTACTAAGCAAATAAATATTTAGACATTTGATCATGGTGCAGTGGTCAGCAACCTGGAGTTTTAGATCATTAGCAGGAAGTTCGATCCTCACGAGGTATTTACTCTGTCTCCCCAGTAAGAGTTGTGACACAAGGTCTTTTTTAAGGTGGGAACCCGGGCAAGGAACAAAAATTACCTACCCCCACCCCGCAACCGTCGGTTGTGCCGGTCTCAGTGCGAGCACCGATCCCTCTCTATGGTGCACGAACTCTAACTTTGATCGGAAATACCCAACAACTTAACGAAATGAGTATTTACTGAGTTGAACTTTGTCTGGCACAAGGATAAAATGTAGGGCACTCATAATTTCACTGAAGTAATAATACAATGGTCTGTAAATATTGTCAATGACCACTAGTCTCGTAACTCAAAAGAATCGTATGGCAATCGGATATACTTCAACTATAGCACCAGTAAGTCTGGTTAGGATAGGACAAAATGACGGAGCTATCTCTCTTCAGGTCAGTTTTGAATTCAGAGTTTTCCTTCTCCTAGACTGGTTGTTACCCAAGCCAGTCTGCCCTGTTATTTAATCAGTAGCAACAGGAAGATTCATGCCGTTCTCAAGTGAACGAAGCAGATTAGGCCAAAATTTGAACTCAACAGGCCGAATACATTTTTCGGACCGAAAACCGCAAATCCACCAGCATTTGCTTCTACAACTGGTGAGTCGCCTCCGGGGAAACTACAGTTTGGTTCTGGGCGGAGTATGGTTGCAAAGCTAAAATTTGAAGCAATTGACAGAAGGGCACCACCAGGAGTGGAGGCTGCGGCTTAATTTGACTTAACACGGGAAAACTCACCCGGTCCGGACACCGGTAGGATTGACAGATCGATAGCTCTTTCTCGATTCGGTGGGTGGTGGTGCATGGCCGTTCTTAGTTGGTGAAGCGATCCGTCTGGTTGATTCCGATAACGAACGAGACTCCGAACTGTTACCTCGTGCGCTCACCCGTGTTGTACGTTGCCCCACGACAAAATGGCCAATTTATTTATTAAATTGATTTTAGTATCATTAAAAAAAAGCAAAAAACTGAAGATTAAAATTAACCTTTCAAACCTCCTTTTTTTTAATAATTTTTTTTCTTATTAAAATTAAAAAGGTGGCTCATATATTTGTCTTGATCAGCAGGCGCTTTGAGACATACCAACCACAGAGCAGGTGTCTATATTGGAGTCATTGGAAAAACATGAGGCATGCTTCTGTTCTTTACGATCAATACAGGCACATGACGCAGTTGATATTTAATAATTTTATCTTAGTTTGGTACAAGGCTGCAGTAATGATCATGCTGCAAATGATCTACAATCCCAGGTTGCTGGCCATTGCACCATGATCAATTATCTAAATATTTATTTGCTTAGTTTAGTACGGGGTTGCAACATGAGGGTTCAACACGAGGATTCAACACAAGGGCACCTAGTGTGGACCAAACTAACTATGATCTACAACACCAGTTTGCTGAAACCTTACTAAGATGCAACACCTAAACATTTCCTAGATTTGCTTTGGCGCAAGGTCATAATATTGGAGCATCCAGTAACAATCGAACTCACTACTAATCATCTATAAGACCCGGCTTATTGACCATTACATCATGATGAGACGCCATTTACTCGGCTTAGTTTGGTATAAGACCACAATAATGGAGAATATAGTGAGGATCGAAGTGTGTAAACCCCTCCCTCGAGGGGTTTGTAACGCATCTATTTATCATCTCTCAGTGGAGTCTCTGTCATTGTGCAGTGAGGAGGTATTATAAATGAAGGGGGGATAAAAGAGCCTTGCACATGCCCTACCCTTTTGGTATTCTTTCATAAAATTAAAATATTTTAATTTTGAACATATTTCACGTAAAATGTTTAAATTGAAAGACCAACACCATTCGTTAATATCTGATGAAGAAAAACACGTAGTAATGAAGAGGACAATGTGAAAATTGGAAACCAGCCATCAATTTTTGTTTTCGCTCATAGAAAATAAAGCTACGGTGAGCTATATTTTCCCCATCTTAAAAATAATCAGTAACTTTAGATTTATAAAGTTATTAGTTTTGTTTCATTTACTGAAATAAGTGTTCCACGAAATTTCTAACGATAGCCGATTTACCCAGGAGAAAAGTGACAAATTATCTCAAAGGGCTTTAAACAGCTTCAAAAATCAATATTATTGAAACCATTGATTTGTTTTTATTTTTATTTTTTTTAAACTGTCAATTTGGTTTCAGGATAATTTGTGGTTTTGTCGATATTTTTTTTTCTTCAAAATCTTTATTTAATTATAAATATAGCCAGAGTCCTAGTCGCCATTGCAGATAATTTTGTCTCTTTAGCTGTTTGTATTTGTTTAATTTTGCTTGTTTTCGTACAAGAATCTGTGATTTTTATCATTTTTTTTAAAAGAAGGTTCTGAGAAACGGCAACGAAACCAGTCATTGGAATTGGTAATCATTTCCAAGAAAGAAATCCGTTTTCGATTCTCTTCATGTTTTATAAAAATCTTAATTTTATTATTACTGTTAGTCTTTGTAATAATAATGTTTAATCGTCTATTTTTTTGTAAATGTTCTTTTGAGATAAATGTATTTTTAAGAAGGCCAGACGGTTTGTGAAAAAATTGTTACGCTTGTACATCTTTTTAAGTTCAGCGGTTAAAAACCGCCAAAATTGATAAGGACCTATTTCAAGTTTATGAAAAATACTTTTTCGTATTTATTGACCAATGAGTGACGAAGGCTGAAGCCCTTGTAAGAACTTGAATGGTGCCTTCTGTTAGTCTCCTTTTTGAATAAATAGATCTCAGGTCAGTAGATCAAAGAGCAAAAGAAAATTGACATCAAGTAAAGAGAGGAACAAGAAGTCACAGATTTAAAATCCAGTTGCAGAGAGCCCAAAAGATTTTTGAAGTTCACAAGTGGAAATTCTCCTGCGGCTGAACAACTAAGAGCGAAAACAAAATTCAAAGAAATTCTCCCAGAATCACGAACAGTGTGAATATAAAAAAAGATATTTCCCAAATTGCTATATGTTGTAGAGAAGCTCGTAGAACAAGTAGTTTTTTTTTTTCGTTTTTTTTTCTAAAAAGTGGTTACGCCATTAATTTACATTTTCTTTTAAATAAGTTTTTTTTCTTTTTTCGAAATTGAATCCTTGCCTTTTTCTGAATTGTAATCTGCTTTTTCTTTTCCAGTTTTTTTTTTTTTTTTTTCATGGTAATC